CCAAACTCCCCCCTGCTGCCACTCTGCAGTCAATGGAAGGTACCTCAGGTCAGAGTTTGGCGTGATGTGAACTTTCCTTTGTGTCCAGCGAAGTTCAGACTAAAGCAAGCAAAAGGCTCTGCTGATAAGTACTTCCTTTATCTGTGGTGAACAGTGCTCAAAGCTTCATGTAGTGCTAGGGGTGGGGAGGATGCCATAGCATAGCACTGAGCATGGAGACTGTTTAAATATCTTGTGGCTAACCATCATGTTTAAACGGAGCTTTCATACTAAACCAATGGGGCCACAAGCCCCTCTTTTTTGGTGGAGGGAGGGAGGGAGCCTTGCCTCATGCTTGAAAGCCAGGGACTCCTAATGAGAGAATCCCTAAGCAGGGCTTGAGAAGCATCTCTGCTTTGGACAATCACTGTCAAAATGGCACCTTCTTACTCTATAGTTTTGTTCAGTGAGAATAAGTCAGTAGCTATGCAGAAGGGAGCCCCATATCCCATTCATTGCCAGAATTATTCACCCAGGCCTGCTTGTGAGACCCAAATATGCTGGTACATGTGATGTGTATCCACATGATACAATTGCTGTAGCCCTGCTCCTGTGAATACATATGATAAACTTCACACATGACCAGCCTCACTGAAATGCAGGGGAAGGGGGTCTTTATGGGACTAGAGGCCCTCAGCAAAACCATTAGGAGACTCTGGGACTGCAAAGCTGTAACTGAGGGCAGACTTCAGGGAGCCCTTTCTTCTTAGCAGCAAGTAACTGTTTTGCACAGCTCATTTTGCAACACTGTTATTGCTTATGAAATGCAAAAAGGAAAAAGAAAGTAGATTTTGTATCCATGGTAAACTGACTCAGATCCCAGGCAGACAGGTGTGGTAAAGGAGGGGGGATAGACAAAGAAAGGTGTGGCTGGGGGAAACACCTTTTTCATTTGTAGTAAGCTAGGCACATTTGATTGAGAAAATGCTACACAGAGTATGGCTCCACCTAGTGCCATTCTTAGTCACTTCTAAGTGCACAACCTCCCCCCCCCTTTTTTTTAAATGTATTTTGGAAGCGTTTTCACGTTCCAGGTCAAATTAGCCAGATCAGGTCCAAGTCCTTTTGATTAAACAAAGCTCAGTCTTCAAACACCATATGTGATGCTGCAACTGGCAAGTATCCTTCATCCCAGACTTTTCAGCCTGGGGCTTAAGATGCTTCCAAATTAATTGGCAAGCATTCTACATGCAGGCCTAAGCCTGGAGGTTTGGAGTCAGATGTCCCTGGCCAATGCGCACAGGAACAAGCTAGGGAGGAGTCTCCTATTTCCATAGTCAGGGTGTAGCTGAGATCCTCCCACTGGAAGCTGGCCAGTGGGAAGCCAACTATGAGGCTCTCGTAGGGAGTCCTGTCTGCATTTGGACCAGGGTGCACCCTCCAATACACTTAAATCCATTTTGGCTCAGGTTCATCTTAGCCCACAAGAGGCTGAGAAGTGATCTCCTTTTTAAGTAAACTGGAACAGTCACAGCATAGAGAAGGGAGAGTGGACAAGGGGTAATCCAAGTCAGATGAGTTATTGGTAAATGTGATCTGTTCCTACCCTCATTCTTATTAGGAAGTAAATTAGTCCAGAACAAAGACACCAGAATCTTGGCAACACCCTTTATGACCACATCTCCAGTCTGGGTGGAAAACAGCCAGCCTATGCTAGCAAAAAAAACTACAGGAAGCAACTGTACTCCCTCAGCTGGGCAGGGGCTGTGCTCTGTTCATCTGTGATGCTCGATCTGGCAATGCACCTCTGCCACCAGAAGCGGAAGCTGCTCTAGGGGCAGGCAAAGGTTAAGGCACTAGTAGAATTTTTATGTACTAAAGCATTGAGTGGAAAGTGCCAAGCAGAAATCAAGGCAGTTTTTCAGGTTTTAAAAGCAGCATCCCGAGGAAGTTTGTATAAAATAAAAGAGCAGGAGAAAGGACGATTTCTTTAAGAAATTAAGAGAGGAAAAGGGGTCCTTGAAGCCAGGGAGAACCCCCCCCCCCAATAGAAATACCAGTATTTTACCTTGTTTCTCCTGCAGTAGCAGCACCACCTGCCTTCAGCACTACCTTCCCCCTCACCCTCTCTGCTTGCACTTTTATTTCTGTCCTTGCAGACGGGGAGCAATTTTACCTTTTGTCACTGGCAGCCGCTGAGAAATGGACTAGGCTATCAGGTCGTCTTCCCACGCAGCTTCCCCACCCTGCTGTGAGCTCATTGGCTGCTCTTGCTGCTGTTCACAAAGCCCCATTTAGCCTGGGAGGATGCAGGGGGCTTAGGCTAGGCATTTTGCATCCCTATACTGAGTTATTTCAAAGGCAGACACAGATGCAACAAGAACAGCTTTGGGCTTGGTATGGACTGAAAACACAGGCAGCCAACATCCCTGTAGGGGCAACATTTAGTTGTGATGACTAATGAATATAACTAGGGAAAAAAAGTCTGAAAAAGGGAGCTGTTTTAGCACTGTGGAGATGCAACGAGCTTGAAGCTCTAGTGCCTGCTGTTGTGCCCCTCCATTCCAAAATGAGACACTAACACAACAAAAAGCTTTAAAATTATCCATTGAATTATTTGATTACTGTATTACTATTTTATTTACTGGCTGGGGGTAGGGTGTTTGTAGGACAATAAGCCTTTTAATCACCCTGTCAGAAGTGGACATGTGGATTTTGTGCCTGCACACATCTTGTCCTAACAATTTTCCATTTGATATGGAGCTGATTTCTATGGCACAAACAAACTACCTATGAACCTAAGCTTCACATTTCAATATTGCTGCTATCAATAATTTACTGCACTGGAAGCAAAATGCTGACAAGTAAGGCCAATGCAAGAAACCCTGGTCTGAAGTGGGAGGAAGAAAAATAAATCATTGTCAGCCATTTGAGATTTGAGTTTCATTTGGAATGAGATTGCTGAGGCTCAGACATACCCCTCTAATGGCAATTTCCAGGAATATCCTCTTCTCTTTTCCAGGAAGAGATGGAAGCATGATTTTTTTTTTTTTGTTTGCAATCAGACCAGGGTGTTAGCTTTCCTCAGCTCTCTGCAGGTAGAACACCACATACAGTTATTTCAGGCCTGTGAGATGTAGCATAAACCAACTAACCACTTTGAAGCCTTCCACATAGTGGACAACTGGCAACTTCATCTTCCTTTTTATACCCTGATCTCCTGTCACAATAGCCTTCTGTTCCTATGTCCTATGGTCCAAACCAACTGCTCCTGAATGGCAGGCTTTAGAGCAGGCCAAACTTTTATTTGTGTTGCACTTCCCCTGGAACTCACTGGTCTCGGGCTGATTTTCTTGCGCCATTTGCTAACTGTGGCTGTTTGAAGGTTAGTAAAGCCATCCTGTTGAATGAACCAGAGTCCAAAATTTTCACTATCAAAAAGAAACACAAAAAGCAAGCGACAGGTTAATGAATGAGGAAACTCAAGCTGTTTACACAAAAGGACAACATAAATACTGCAGGGTCCTGTTATTTGAGAGAGTAAATTCTCTTTCATACATAGAACAGCATCTCACACATTTCATGTTTATTGTACCCTTCATTTAGTTTTCACTATGTGGTTCCTCTCTCTCCCAACAGCAAAGAGCATCATGTTACCCATGTTTTGAAGAATGTCTTGCGTTCACGATACAATTGCTGTAAAAAGCTTGTCTAATGCTATCCCAGCTATGCAATTTGTCCAGTAAAAGATGTCACCTGAAGAAATCTTTGCTTTCTCTTGTAGGCATGGGTAAAAGGCAGTTCTGAACACGTTTTTGGCATTACATGCTACTATTGCTAGTCACCACTTCCCTTCCTGCCATCTTTCCAAAACATATTTAGGTATTCTCCTGTTCAGGTAGGTGGTTGGGAAAACTTGGAAGGCCTCTGTTCAGCAAGGAAAGCATGTACAACATGTAGTCCGTTCTGAGAACTGCTTGTGCCAGAAGGAATATGCATCTCATTTACTGATATTGGACAACTTGTATTGTCCTGGTTCCTTAACAGACACACTCAGGAACCAGGACCAGAGTGGGAGCTTGTATTCATAGCAAGAGTTAGCTTTAGTTAGGCTATTCCAAGTTACTCTATTTAGGATAACCTAGCTGAATAAGAGCAACTGCACTGCAACTCAGTGAGTAGGGTGACAGCTGACAAGTTAACTCAAGCTGCTGCATCCTCCCTGTGAAACTAAGAAATGCATGGCTTCAAGCACTGGCTCCTTCCTTCCCCATTCAAGCTAAGTGTGTGGACATGAACCTGACTGAGGGCAAGTTTTAGCTCAAGCTAACATGAAGCCCTTCCAGCAGATGCAAGGGTTCAATGTGCTTTACTCATGGGTACTTCCCTGAAACTCCCATACTACAGACAGACACATATACATAATATAGATACTGACAGATAAGTCTGCTAAGAGTAGACATGCAAGTCAGTATTAAGACATCTGCTCTTATTAGATACCTTTCAACAGTGCTCAGGCCATGTCTAGTCTGCCAGGTCCAACAAGAGCACAGCTTGAAAAGAGGTATTTTAGGTTTCAACAAGGAAACCCCAGGTAATAAACATGAAGTCAATGACATCTGGCTACCATGCAGCCCTGCAGAAGGCTACTTAATCCACTACAGTAATGCAGTTCATACCCCTAACAGGATGTCAACCCACTATTTGCCTATTAATTGAAAATTAAACTATTTAATTAAAAAGTGCTTATTAAGCAATTCTCAGTGCTGCTAATTGTTAAGTTGTACCCATGAACAGTGAAACAGGTCTTCACAGAAGTGTGCCTGCTGTCAGTGGGAAGAACTGGAGCAGTTAAAGTGTGGAAAGCCTTTGAAAAAAATCTTTCATTGAAACCTAGACTTCTGAAGTAAAGGATCAGCTTTGATATGAGGGTCAGGCAGGCTCTCTTCTCTCCTCAAGCAGAGAAGCAAAGCCTTAAAAGTCTTTGAACAATTTAGAATTCACTTATTACAGAGAAGTCATGTTTTTCACGAACTGGTGAGTAAACAAGCTCAAAGGAACAGTGCACACAGCAACACAACGGTGTTGCATGTTTCAAAAACATTTACAGATTACAAGCACATCTGCGATTCTTTTTTAAATAAAAGTTTAATTCCTTCATTGAGGTCTTAGTTTAACACAAATGCTGCAGAAAATCCTCACACCACTGCCTTGATGTTCTTGCTCTTGGCTTCTGCTCATGATGCATTGGGCAGGGCAGAAGCAGGAGGCAGGAGTCCTGAACGGACCCTCAGTGGAGCTCAGTGCAGGATGCAAAGCAAAGAAGCAAACATACACTTTCCAGACAAACATAGACTTTGGATACAAAACAAACCCGATGATGGGATAGAAGTGTTATGTAGCCACAGGACAAAAGTTCTAGGAAGGGAGAGGGGGAAGTCTTAATTAAAAAGGCACAATACCTAATGCCTAGGAGGACTACCCCAAATCCAAACACCTGGATTGTTCAGGTAGCTCCAATTATCTACCACCCTTCAATCTCTCATACCACCTTGGCTGGAGAGTCAAGCAACTTCAAAAGCCTCCTCCTTCCTTTCCCCATCTCCAAAGTAGGTTGAGATTGTTTATAAAACCAAAACGCATACAGAAAACAGCTTGGCCTGCTACCCAGTAAGAGTCCAGGAAAGACTGATTTAGATATTTCTCTTAGAATTGTCTGGTATAACTAATCTGCATTTAAGTTGTGGGTAATACCAGCTCTACAGACAGGAGCCACAACCAGCTCTGGGTTTGACAGCTTCATTTCTTTCTTGAGGCCTGTTGCTACCTCTGAGTGGGGTTAGATGTGGTACTGGGAAATCTTCAATAAATAAAGCCACAGACAGAACAAGCCACTCCTGACCTATTACTATCAAGCACTTCACATGAACAGCTGACTCAGATCCATCCTTTGGCTCTCTCTGAAATTTCACAACCTCCCCATTAACCATCATTCCCAAGGTTCTTTGCAGAGATGGAAGATTCTGGTATCAGCCATGGAAAAATATTAAAGAGGCCAACAAAAAAAACAAACCCCAACAAAACAAAACACAAGGAGTCAAAATACAGTCAATAACTTAGTGGTACAATGGAATACTAGACTTAACCTTCAGAGATTAAGATGCCTGAAAACAAAGTTTACAAGGAAGTAATAAGGTCACCCCATGTCAATCTATTCAGCAGGCACATGGCTGCAAGGAACAAGCAGGCCAGTAAAAGGTCAGAAAGGCTAGCCTTACTAGGGTACCAGCAGAGGAGAGAAGTGGGGCCTGTCTATACAGCAAAATGGAGTTGTGACTGTTGCACACGCTAGTGCACCCTTGCTAGCTTCAAGTAACATGGGAACAATAGCAGCCACGGCAGCCCAGACTGGGTCAGGTGCTAGCAGGAACAACATGTACTCTGGAGTACATACTGGTTACAAATGGAAGGTGAAGAAATGTGCTGCCATAACTCCACTGATATCATTAGCCATATTAGCTAGATAAAGAAAGCACAGATATGCTAGAGTATGCTATAGCTCATGATAATTTTGCTGTTCAAACACCCTAAAAGGACATCGTGTTTCTTCTCTACTGCAAGGGCACAAATATGTGGTCTCCTTCCAGGAGAGGAAGCTGATGATTGTCCTACCCTTCCATGGTGCTGATCCAGTGCCTCAGCTCTTGTCAGAAACTCGGTCAATGTATAAGACTTACTTATCCCACTTTTCTAAGGGCTTCTGTCAGGTATAGAATAAGTAGCACATGTTCAGCAGTCCCTTGGACTCTTGCTGTAAGTTCCAGATCAGCCTGTTCTTGGGTGTTCTACTTCCCATACAACCCCCCCCCCCCAACAAACAAACAAACAAACAAACCAACCCAAACCAAACAGGTATGCATGCCAGATACACACAAACACAAAACCTCCCCCTCCAAGAAAATTGTGGCAATTGGCCATGGTAGTCCTACTCGCCACAGATCTGCAATGCTGACTCTCACTACTGCTGGAAACCTAAACTGAAAAGTCCACACTTTGGAGCCTGCTGGTGGCAGTCAGAGCATTTTAGATGTGCCTCTCCCAGAGCTGGGATCAGACACCATAAGACTGATGCGTGCAGAGGAGGAGCTGTGGAGAACCACACTGGAACAAGCAGAGTCTTCTACTGAACTTTATAATAAGCTGAACAACTTTTGGTTTTAAAAAAAGCCACACAAGCAGCAGGCAGCATGTCATTATAAAGGGACATGGCTGAATAGGTAGGAGACAGATTCCCCATTATGAGTCCTCCTGATGGCCTCTGCAAGGATCATTGAGATGTCAATCACCTGTAAGAGAGAGAAAGGGAGGGGAAAAAAACAACCAAGGTCAGTGTCACCTAGTGGAAGACTACACCAAGACCTTAGAGGGTGGCTGAGAAGCCATAAAGAACCAAGGAATCCATTGCCAAGGTCTACAGCAGCTTGTCACATACAGAAGAACTATTAGTTCCCTTTAAACAAGCAAGCAAGATCAGAATATCACATTGCATATATTGCTGAAAGTGAATTATTCTTGCCACTATGCTCTAGTGCAGGGGTCAGCAACTCCTGGCATGTGTGCTGAGCATGGCACGCAAGGCCATTTTGCTCAGCACACCACTGCGAGCCTGGGGCTCTAAGCAGCTGCTGCCAGCCACAGAGCCCAGGCTGCTCCCAGCAGGTGGCTGGGAGGCTGCAAGCCCTGCTGCAAGCAGACTGGGCTCTGTGGGCTGGCTGCAGCCGGGAGACTGCAAACAGCTGCTCCAGGCTCCAGCATGTTGGCACTCCGGCACTGTTCGACATAGACATTGTGGTTTTCTCGGCACTCTAGCCAAAAAACGTTGCCTACCCCTGCTCTAGTGCCAGAGCAAGAAAAAAATTCCCAAATGGATGAGCC